CGGTCCCCTTTATCCTACCCGCGACCACAGAGTGACACCAGATGGGGGGTGCGTGCTATCTTACCCTCCCTGCGCGCAAAGCAACTCGGGATAGTACCAAATCCCTCGTCACTTTGCTCTCTGCTCGGGTTAAGATATGGGAGTTGTACTGGGGCCTTCTTTCCTCTTTTACCTGCCCCCACATTACTCGTATCCTCTCCTCAAGTCCTTCCCTGCTCTAACACCCAATACTCACATTTTTCTCCTCCAATACTCACCCTTTCCTTTACTCTGCCACTCCATTTCTCACCATCGCTTACCTTACCCCCGTGCATAGAGAATCCCCCCTTAGCACCGTCTTCCCATGTAACCTGCGTCCACCAAATAAATGCAGTCCATATCAACCTTCAGAAATCTCCTGTTTTAATCGTTTCCGTCAAATACATCCAGTAATGTATCATCGTATCCCTTGGTTTTCCTCACCTCTCGCTAGTCAAAATCGTACATTAAGTGTCATTGTACCCCTTGGTTTTTTCTTATCTCTCGTCCTTCACTCCTCTTCAGAACACCGGCTTGAAATCCCTGCTGTTATTGCGCTGCGTTCACAGCCTGTCCCCCTGGCTCTCCTTCTCGGGTCTCCTGGCCACTTGATCCCGTAGGATCCCTCGTGGCATACTTTCTTCAGTTGCATACTAGTACTTCTCAGGCCGGTTCTCGACTGAGGGTAGCTGTGATCTATTCAAGTGTCAACCTGAGTTGAAGAACGACCGCTCGGGGACGGGTGCGACCAACGCACCCGCTGTGAAAGGTCGTTACGAAGTTGCTGAGTCAACTCGACTGACGCCAGCGGTGAAAGGCTGTTCTGGCCCTAATTATTTTGTTGGTGGGAACCATTTCCGACCACCATGTGTGGCACCAGATCAGGGACAGAAAGCTGCTGAAAGGGTCTTTTATGAAAGAAATTTGTGTCTTTCCTTTTTTTTTTTTTTCGTTTAACAGATAACGAAAAAACGCCAAAAGATACTGCACCCCCATTCAACCGTACTCAGAAGTCGGCACAAGTTAAACGAGAGGTGAGGAAAAACAAAATTTGGGGTATAGCAAAATTTTTTAGTGAAAATCGGATCAGAAGATGTGAGGT